CGCGTTGTGGCCCCGGCCGCAGCACAGCAGGTCGCAGCCATCGATGCCCGGCGAGCTCACGTTGCAGGTGCGGTCGCGCGTGCCGAAGGAGCCGGTCTCGCGGTTCGGCTCGCAGAAGTTGGGCGAGGCCTCGTAGTAGACCAGGTCGCGCTCCGTGGGCACCTTGAAGTAGGTGTAGCGCGGCCGCAGCGTCTCCACCCAGCCGCGCGACTCGCGGTGCTTCTCCACCACCATCTCCGAGGCGCTGTCGTACTTGTCCTTAAGGAAGTCGCCGATGGCGCGGAAGTCGGGCTGCGACCACCAGCAGGTCTTCACCTCGCAGCTGCCCGACAGCCCGTGGCACTTGCACTTGAGGTGCATGTGACTTGCGATGGCCTGCAGGAGCGCGGGTGGGGGCGTCAGGGCCCTTGCTCAGCCCAAGTGCGTCCGCGCGGGACAGTCTCCCAGGACAGTGCTCCTGGCCTGCAACCCCCGCCCCAGGCTCACCCAGCAAACCCAGCCCGCCTGCCTGCTCCATAAATCGCCTGGGGCCCCCAGGCGGAGCAGGTGCCCTCTCCATGGGCCCGCAGTGACATTTCCTTCTATGTGCTTCCGTAGCCGACCGAGATCCCACGGAGCGCGGGGTGGAAATGGGGTAGAGTAGGGGGGCAGGGCCCGGGAGCCTCCCTGCTCTCTCCTAGGCTGGTTCTAAGTCTTGGGCATCTATGACAGAGTGAAGGACGGCCAGGGCTGTAACGTGATGGTGTAAGTGCAGACATGAAGAAGGAAGGCGTTACTTCTAACGTGGAAAACCCAAGGTCGAGGCCCAGAGGTGTATGGGGGCTGGTGGCGACCTGAGTGTGGGAAATGGGGGTGGCTTGCATTGGGCATCTTCAGGGCCCAGGAAGCTGGGTTCTTGGACTGTACGGGTTGGGAAGAGGAGCAGCGAGGCAGTGCAGGGCACCAAGTTGTGGGGGCCTGAGGGTGGACAACCCGCAGGGCTTGGCAAAGTGGTGTGTGTTTCTTCCTGTGGGAATCCCAGGTTCTCTTTGGGAAAAGAGGTGAAGGTGGGTGACTTAATCAGACCTAAGGTTGCCTTGTCCACTATGGTGACCACCACCACCCATGAACCCGGAGGTGTGGCTGGTCCAAACTGAGAAGTGCTGTGAGTGCAGACCATACACTGGTTTGCTGTAAGTCCCCGGACTTTGTACAAGAAGAGGATGTAAAATATCTCATGCATGATTTTAATATTGATTGCATTACTGAAATGACAACATGTTGGGTATAGTGGGTTAAATAAAATTTAGTATTAAAATGAATGTCCGCTGTTTTCTTTTAATATGTGGCTACTAGAAAATTTGTTACACATTGCACTCCTACTGGATGATGCTGGGCTAAGGCTTCAGTGGGCGCTGCATCCAGACCCTTCCCTGTTCCATTCCCATCTCCCTGCTGTTTCAGCTCTTCCCTCTCATACCGGCCCTTTCCCTGGGCATCTGTGAGTTGCCCCCACACTAGTTCATTCCTGTCTAATCTCCACCCTCTTCCCTTTTGTGGCCAAGCTTTTCCAAACAGGAGCAGCTGCTTCTCTCCTCTGTATTCCGTCTCTTGCAGTTTGGCTTTATCAACGATATATATGCATGTACTTTAAAACAGCGGTCGCCAACCTTTTTAGCCCTCATGTACCACCAGTGGTCCGCAGACCACCGGTTGGCGACCACTGCTTTAAAAAGCCCAATAACTCCCGAAATGTGTTAAGAAATACAGGAACCATGATCAGGTAGCTCAGTTGATTAGAGCATCATTCCCATATGCCAAAGTTTTGGGTTTGATCCCCTGTCAGGGCACATATAAGAATTGACCAATGTTTCATAAATAAGTGGAACAACAAATCTCTCTCTCTCTCTCTCTCTCTCTCTTTCTCTCTCTCTCTCTCTCTCAAATAAAAAACACACAGGAGTTCTGTGCCCACTCTCACTCAGCACTGACCATCCAAGGTAGTGCTGTGTGCCTCTCACAAACCTTGTGTTTGGCATTGTCTCTGGACCTCTCACCCCTGCCCCCACCACTCTGATGCACATTTTCAACCTCTTCCTGCCTTAAGAACTAGAGCATATTTCTAGTTAGATCAATATTTAGTGCTGATGGTATTGGAGTTGTTAAATGTCATATTCAGCTGAGCCATGTGATATGTTACGATTACTTTTCCTTTCCTACAAGATGTTTTGTTGTTACTTTTTGAATATGTGTCATGGATTCAGTCTCAAGCTCTCCCTTAATTGTCTAAGTCAGTGGTCAGCCAACCGGCTCGCGAGCCACATGTGGCTCTTTGGCCCCTTGAATGTGGCTCTTCCACAAAATATCACGTGCGGGCGCGCATGTACAGTGCGATTGAAACTTCGTGGCCCATGCGCAGAAGTCGGTATTTTGTGGAAGAGCCACACTCAAGGGGCCAAAGAGCCGCATGTGGCTCGCAAGCCGCAGTTTGCCGACCACTGGTCTAAGTATCTTCTTCAAGACATTTAAACGCACCAGGTGTCCTATCGATTTCATCTCGGAGACATCTTTTTGAGAAGTCTTCTGGTCAATTTTATGAAATGTGCTTGTCTGGAAACAAATCTTTTCTACTTGAAAAGTTGAAAAAATGGTTTAAATAAATTTCTTGGCTAAAAGGCCCCTCTCCCGCCACCCTCCTCTGCCCCTCAGAATTCTGAAAGTACTGCTCCATTTTATTCTGTCATTTATATTGCTCTTGGAAACTCTGATGCCATCCTGGCTCTGATACTTGACATGAACTTGACCTTTTCCTGGGCAGCTTGGAGGCCATGTCTGTGCTGTCAGCTTGGTGTGGATCTCCCTTTCTTGTTTCAGTCACTTCCTGGGCCTGTGTGGTCTGAAACTTGTGATCTCCAGTCCCAGAACCTTCCTGCCTTATTTCTGTGCCAACTTTCTCCTCTTCATGTTCATCACTGTCTCTCGTGGACAGAGCCTCCATATTTTCGGTTCTTTCCTAGTTTCCATCTCTTTGTCTTTTTCCCTCTGCTTTGTGGAAAAGTATCTTAACTGTCTTCCAGCCTTTCTGCTGAGAGTTTTGTTTCTGCTGTCCTATTTTTAATTTCTTAGACCTCTTCCCCCACCCCCAATGTTCTCTTAAATTAACATCCTGTTCCAATTTCATGGGTACAATATGTTTTCTTATCTCTCTGGGACGGTGACAGTTTTTGAAGTTTTCATCTCTCTTTACAACATCTCTTTTCCATAAGTTTGGATCTTGTTTCTTTGTTTTGGTCTTTACCTTTGTGATTGCTGGAGGCCTCCTTGGGTGTCTGAGAGTCCTTGGTTGTCTGTTTATATTTAAAAGCAGGCCACTAGCCCTAGCCGGTTTGGCTCAGTGGACAGAGTGCCAGCCTGCGGACTGAAGGGTCCCAGGTTCGATCTGGGTCAAGGGCACATGCCCAGGTTACTGGCTGGATCCCCAATAGGGGACGTGCAGGAGACAGCCAACAAGGATTCTCTGTCATCATTGATGTTTCTATCTCTCTCTCTCTCTCCCTTCCTCTCTGAAATCAATAAAGAAGAGTGCAAAAGGCAAAAAAATAAAATAAAAGCAGGCCACTAAAAATCTTGTTGGAAGTTCCTGTGCCTGGGAGGGACTTGCCAACTTGAACCCTAGCCCCAGAGTGACTTGGCCACATTGTCTCACTAGAGAAGTTAAGTCTCTTCTCCTGGGTTCCTCTGATTTCCAGGGCAGAACTTTCCATTCTCCTGCCTGTGGGCGATCAAGCTTCAGTGCAGCATTAGGAGATTAGGAAAAGAAATGCATACTTAGATATACTATTTTCACTTGGGTGGCCTTGCCCTTAACTGTGCTTGGGCTCCACAGGCCAGACAACCCTGCTTTACCCTTTTTAGAGAATAAGTTTGCAGATTTCTGGTAAAGGAGGGGTGTAATCTGGGTTCAAGGAGTTGGACAGAAGAGCTGGTGGGTTAAAAAGTACTTTTAACATAGACTTTCAACCAGTCTTCCTGTTTTCAGCCTCATATTTACTTCTGTTTCTCAAGACACCTGATACTAGTAATTCCTGAGTTGTTTCTCAGATTTCGCCTCTGCTGGCTTAATACTCAGCTTTCTTGGGCCTACTAAGACATTGAATATTCATCTATCTGCTTTTTAGCTTCCAGACTTTTGTTGCCATTGTCACTTCTATTTTTCATGTTTTCAGGAGCCTTATTTATGTTAAAACTAGAGGCTCAGTGCATGAAATTCATGCACGGGTAGGGTCCCTAGGCCTGGCCAGCGATCAGGGCCCATCTGTGGGGTGATTGGGGGGACCCCTGCTGGCACCTGCTTTGGCTGGCCTGGGGTCTGCAGGCTGGGGGCAGCTCCTGCGTTGAGTGTCTGCCTCCTGGTGGTCAGTGCGCATCATAGCGACCAGTTGTTCGGTCAGTTTGCATATTAGGCTTTTATTATATGATGCATTCATTGTCATTTTAGTGGGTGTTTAGGAGGTTGCAGAGGGAAAGGCTTGTGTTTGCTTTGTTGTCTTTAACTGGAAATACTCATTCATTCTTCAGTTCTACAATTTTTATGTGATTCTTTCCCAAATCTACTACATTATTTTTATAGTTCCCAGTTCCCTGCTGAAATGTTCAACCTTGCATCTTAGCTGTATGAATGTGAGCATTTTTTATAATTATTAATCTCACGTTATTGACGAGAAAACGGAGGCTCCAGAAGGGTTAAGTAACTTTCCCAAATTGATACATTATTAAACGAAGGGTCAATATTTGAGTCCATGTCAGGTTTCATCCTAAAACCAAGTCTCTAGTATATTCCTATGCTATCTCTTAAAGGGTAAATTTTGGTTTTCTTTTTTTAAAAATAAACTTTTTATTGTTGATAGTATCACAGATATCTCTACTCTCCCCCCCTTTACTTCCACCCTGCCAGTCCCTACCCCCCCCACATGTCTGCCCTACCTTATTGCCTGTGTCCATGGGCTATGCCTATCTCTCTCTATAAAACCCTAATATGAGAATAGACTGAACGGTGGAACAATTGAACAACTGATCGCTATGATGTGCGCTGACCATCTGGGGGTGCTCATGGAACTTGGCAGGCGTCGGCCGTGATGGAATGGTGGGGCAGGTGAGTGGGGGTGCCAGACCAAGGCGGGACACTGGTCGCTGTCATCTGGGTCAGCCTCTGGTGGTTACTGAAAATTCTTTGTTCCTGCATGCCGTGGTACTGCCTGGGGCTTGCACCCGCTGCTGGCACCCAGCGCCAACACCAATCGCTCGGCACCGTCAGCAGGTGCAAGTGGAGGCTGCCAGCCCTGATTGCCCCTCAGGGCTTCTCCACCTCCTTTGCTCTTGAGGGGCAATTGGGGCTGGCAACCACCTCTCTCACCCACTGCTGGAGATGGCCCTGCTCACACCTGCAGCTGACACCAGAGCCGCTGCTTGCACCCACTGCGAGTGCCTGGCGCCGGTCCTGATCACCCCTGAGGGCTTCTCCACCTTCCCTTGCTCCTGAAGGGCGATCAGGGCAGTAGCCACCACTCGCACCTGCTGACAGTGTTGGCCCTGCTTGCACCTGCTGCTGGTGCCGGCCCCAATCGCTCTGTGCTGTCAGTGGGTATGAGTGGGGCTGGCACAGTCAGTATGTGGGAGTGGCAGTGGTGGGAGTGGGGCAGACAGGGAACAGGGTCCCGGTGGGAGGGGCTGGGCGGGCGTGGAGGATGGGCCGAGATCTGCCCCTATGCCCACTGCAGCCTCGAGGCCCACAGTTCCTTTCTAGGTGCATGAATTCATGCACTGGGCCCCTAGTAAGTATATAAACTCTTTAGCTTATCTCTTCTCATCTTCCCAACCCCACATCAATGTCTGTCAGTCTGTTCCATGCCTCCCTGTTTCGGGTCTTATTTTGTTGGTCAATTCATTTTGCTCATTAGATTCCACAAATATGTGAGATCATGTGATATTTGTCTTTCACAGATGGGCTTATTTCACTTAGCATAATATTTTCAAGGTCCATTCATGCTGTTCCAAAGGGTAAGAGATCCGTCTTTTTTATAGCTGCATAGTATTCCATTGTGTATATGTACCATAGCTTCTTTATCCACTCATCCATTGGTGGCCACTTGGGCTGCTTCCAGATCTTAGCTATTGAAGGAGATTGCAGTAAAAAATCCAGAATTCGCATTTCTCTTAAAAATAGAAACTCTGGAAACACCTGTTCTCGTGTCCATGTTATGGTGGAATCATTTTTTAAAATGGATTGTTTATTTTCCTTTTGCTGAATTGTATGAGTACTTTATATATTTTAGATATTAACCCTTTATCAGATATATCATTGGCAAATATGTTCTCCCATACAGTGGGCTCCCTTTTCATTTTGATGGTGGTTTCTTTTGCTGTGCAGAAGTTTTTTAAATTTATTTTGATGCAGTCCCATTTGTTTATTTTCTCCTCAGTTTCCTTTGCCCTAGGAAATGTAACTGTAAACGTATTGCTACATGAGATGTCTAAGATTTTACTGCCTATGTTCTCCTCTAAAATTTTTATGGTTTCATGTCTTACATTTAAGTCCTTTATCCATCTTGAGTTTATTCTTGTGTATGGTGTAATTGGCGGTCTAATTTCATCTTTTTGTGTGTGTCTGTCCAGTGAACATATTTTTTTTAAAATATATTTTATTGATTTTTTACAGAGAAGAAGGGAGAGGGATAGAGAGTTAGACATATCGATGAGAGAGAAACATCGATCAGCTGCCTCCTGTACACCTCCTACTGGGGATGTGCCCACAACTAAGGTACATGCCCTTGACTGGAATCGAACCTGGGACCCTTCAGTCCTCAGGCCGATGCTCTATCCACTGAGCCAAACCGGTTAGGGCGAACATATATATATATTTTAATAATCTGTGCCTGAGTAGTATTTAGAGTACTGTTTCTGTTTTTACCCCCTGATTACCACTTATCCATTGTGTCATCAGCTCATGTGACAGGTTATCCTTATTTATGTGGACACTGTGTTTGAAAAATTATTTGTAGAAACAATGTTCAGCCAACTCAAGTCTACACATATGCGCAGCAGCTGGTCTGCTTCTCGGTTACCTTTACTTCCTAGGGTCCTAAACTGGGCAGTGATTGCCTAGAGCAGCGAGCGGTTCTCAACCTGTGGGTCGCGACCCCATTGGTAGTCGAACGACCCTTTCACAGGGGTCGCCTAAGACCATCCTGCACATCAGATATTTACATTACGATTCATAACAGTAGCAACATTACAGTTATGAAGTAGCAACGAAAATAATTTTATGGTTGGGTCACAACATTAGGAACTGTATTTAAAGGGCCAGAAGGTGAGAACCACTGTCCTAGAGAGACCACCCTTCGTGGGTCCCTTAGCTCTGTGAGGCTGAGCGAAGCACAGCTTAGTGTATGCACTTTCTTCCACATCAGCAAATGACGCTTGGACAAAAGCTACCCCAGGTACCAGATTCAGTGTCTTGTCTTTTGGACCTGGGACTACTAATTCCTCACTCTATGGTTAGTTTAGTTATGTTACATTTTAAAGTCATTTTATGGAAGTGTATTATACAAAAATGTATATATGTCATAATCTAAAACATGACAAAATTTCACAAATCACCAGGTACTCAGAAACTCCCATCATGCTCTTTTCCAGTGGTTGTCCTCCCCTTTTTCAGGGCACTGATTCCGACAGCATTTCCTTGATGGCTAATGTTATTGAACACCTTTTCATATACTTATTGGCCATTCCTATATTTTCTTTTGTGAAGTGGCTTTACATTTTTTAGCCAACTTTTTTATTGGGTTATCTGTCTTTTTAAAAAATTAATTTGTAGAGTTCTTATATTATAGCTTTCATATATTTTTGGAGATATTATTTCCTCCTGTGTGGGTTGTGTTTTTAGATTTATGATGGTGTCTTTTATGAATAGACATTTCTTTAAAAAAATTTGTTTTAATCCTCACCTGAGAATATTTTTCCATTGATTTTAGAGAGACACATTGATTGGTTGCCTCCTGCACATGCCAGCGAGGAGCCTACAACCAAGGTATGTACCCTTGGCTGAAATTAAACTTGGGACCCTTCAGTCCGCAGGCCAATGCTCTATCCACTGAGCCAAACCAGCTAGGGCTGACTAGACATTCTTAATTTAAATATGGTCCACATTTTTATATTTTTCTTTGACCTATTTAAGAAATCTCTGCCTACGATGTCTCCTAGGTTTTCTTCTAAGCGTTTTCTTGGGTTTGTTTTACCTTTCCCATTTGGATTTGTAATTACATTTATATATGGTGTGAGGTAGGGGGTCAAGATTACTTTTTCCATATTGTGATTCAATGGACTGAGCACATTTATTGAAAAGCCTTTTTCCTGTCTGCACTGCTTTACCTCCCTTGAGATAAATCAGGTGACTTTACACAGGTGAGCATTCTTTACTTTTAACAGGGTGCCTTTTGTATTCCATCCTACATTTATACTGTCTTCAACAGGAAGATGAGACTGACTCACCTAGTCCCCGTTATTGGTAGTTGAGTGTCCCCGTTCACTCTTCAGCCCTCTGCAATCCCCTGGTTCCACTGGGCAAAGCCAGTGCCAATTTTGTGTTGCTAACTCTACTGGACACCTGTAGGTCCTTACATAGTTCCTGTTAGCAGTCAATCCTCTGTCAGTTTCCCACTGAACTTCTGACCCAGTCCTTTTTAGCAGGGCTCACAAAGCCCTCAAAGCTTGACCCATCAGCTTCTCCATCTCCCAAATTCTCTTTCTCCTTCTGTTTTCCATATTCTACCCAGACTAACTCATGTGCAGCCTCACCTCTCGGCTGCCTGGAGGCTCTCCTGGCCTCCTCCCAGCTAGATAACTGCCATTAGTCTACATTCCTCTGCTCACCATCTTTGACAGCAGAAGTCAGTTTTTTGAGACTCCAGCCTGCGTCTGGACCCTCCTCTGTACCAGTTCACCTTCTGTGTATGCATTCCCTCACACAGAACTTCCCAGACTGCTGTAGCCACCTACCCGCATCTCTTTGGCTGTGTAGGAGCTCCTGCAAGGCAGGCCTTTATCCCATCCCTCCTTTCTTGTGACCCCAACTCCAGAAGTGGACCTACCAATCTGTGGGAATACCCAGACACTTGTGGAGCAATTGGACAGTACTATGTTTCAGACCAGGCCATACACCCCAAGGGACCAGGGGTGTGCTCTGCGGATCCCCTGGAACATCCCCAAGGCCCAGAGGGCCATGGTCAGAGACCCCTCCCCAATGCACAGGACAGTGGTCAGAGGGTGCCCTGGTGCACCTTCAGACACACAGGGCCATGGTCAAAGACACTGCCCCAATCCCCAAGGATACCCAGGGCAGTGCTCAGAGGGCCCCCAGACACGTGGTTAGGACACACAGGGTTGGGGACTTACCTGGCGCCCAGCCTCATTGTTGTGGCGGTTCATCGCAGAGCGGGCGTCAGGCCTATTCTCTCTTGCATCCGCGAACTCCCGAGACACCATCCCACCAAACTCGATGTCCTCGCTGCAGCCACCCCATTTCCAGCCGTGGCCTGGAGAGCCCTGGTGACGGCTGCTGCATCCGCAGATGGCAGCGGAGCCCTCCGCGCAGGAGCGTGTCACTGCGAAGGCCACTCCGGCGGAGGCAATGGCGTGCACGAAGGCGGACTCCCGGGTGGCTGTGGAGAAAGGCGTGAGGTGGGCAGGGCGCAAGGGCGGGGCAGGACTTGGGGGAGAGGGTGCTTGTCCCCAGAGGACCCAAGGAAGAGGGAGAGCTTCCCAAGAGAAAGTCCACCAAGGGCCAAGAAACCCAAGAAGTGATGCTGAACGGCACTCGTCGTTGTGGGGAAGTCAGGGACGGGAGCACCTGCACACTGCTGGCTGGAGGGAAATGGGAGCGCCCCTTCGAAAGCAGTTTGGCAGCTTCTAAAAAACATACACGTCCCGCCCGCCCTAGCCATCACCTCCCAGGTCCTTCCCCCGCACTGACACAAAGACCAGGAGCAGATGTCAGGGCGGCTCTATCTGCAATAGCCCCAAACTGGCAGCTCCCAAATGCCCATGAGAGGAGAATGGATAAACAGCTACAGCATAAGATAAATAAGTCCTGTGATAGGATATGCAGGGTGGTGACTGTATTGTAGACCTGAAAGTTGCTAAGAATACATCTTGTGTTATCACCACACACAAAAATAGTAACCATAAGAGGTGATGGATGTTAACTACACTTATTGTGGAGATCATTTCACAATATACAGTATACCAAATCATCATGTTGTCTGCCTACAACTCATACAATATATATGTCAATTATACCTTCATAAAAAATTGTGGCATTTCCATAAAATGGAATTTTATTTAGCAGTAATTGGAAAAAGAGCATGATGCTTCTCAAAATAATCATGCTGACTGAACAAAGGCCACTGGACAGCCCTGGGGTCAGCTCCCCCTGCCCAGACTTCCCAGTAGGAGCTTCCAGCAGCCTGATGACCTGCCCAGAGTGTGGCTCTGGCCCACATGCTGCTACCTATACTGCCGTTCTGCCTGCACATCTTTTCCCTCCTTCACCTGGACTCTAAGTGCTGCAAGGACCACAGGTGAACATTCACCCTGTGCTGGCTCCACACGCTCAGGCCTGGGTATGCCCAACGGCTGCCTGACACCTGCCCCAGGATGACCTCCAGGCCTCTGTTCACCCAGAGGCTGATATTGGGCACCTGCATGCAGCCTCTTGGAAACTGAGTCAGAGGGAGTGACATTAGTTTTGCAGAGGGGCAGTGGGGGAGGGCTGGAGCTTGGGAAGAGGAAGCTTGCCAGGCAACAGTATCAGACAGGTATATGCCACTATCCAGGGAGACCCCCTGGACCTTGCAGGGTGGGGCGGCCTAGCCTGCCCCTGGTAGACAGAACCTTGAAGATGGTCTTGAAAGTCAGATAGGAAGCAGACAGAGAGAAAGCAGAGGGCAGGAATATTCTGCTGGGCTGGCAGGACCAGAGGGAAGTACAGGGCATGTGGGGGGTGGGGCAGCCTGGCATCCCCAAGCAGGAGCTTTCCTGAGGGAATGAATGCATTGCCTCCTGGGTGTGTGTAAACATTTTGATGGGCTCTGGATTCAGGATGAGGAAGTTGGGCTGCCCTGGGTTCCCAGGTCACTAGTGCACAGCAGGTGCTGTTTGCTAAGCCCTGCGGGAGAAAATAACAGTAGGGAGCCAGATGGCCCCCTGGAGCTTACCTGCAAGTAGCAGGAATTAAAAATACTCACAGGGCTTTGGAGCCCATCAGGCCCGGGCTGAACCCTGGCTTGGCTCTGATGGCTGATGTGCCTTAGGTGTCTCTGCTGCCCTCATGTGGGATCCTACACCCCACCTTTCTTGGCTCTGACTCCTCAGGTCTTGGGTGGAGAGATGTGGGAACAGGACTGATCAGGGCACCGGGTGAGTGCCCTGTTGCATTCCCCCAAGCTCCTCCTGGACAGAGGTCCCAGGCAGGCCTGGATCCTGCTGAGCTCCCAAGAGTTATAGGTGAGTAATGGTGACAGGGGGCTGTTGCCTCCTTGCCCCACCTCAATGCCCAGGGGGCTTTTGTTCTGGGAGGGATATGAGTAGATGGGCTCCATCCTGGGGAGTAAGCAGGGGTTTCAGGCTGCTTCCAGGTTTGCAGTCGACATGGGTGTCCTAAACCTTGTGAATGCACACACTCAGACTCACCCACCCAGCTTCACTCACATCCACACACACCTGTTACCAAAAAGTGAACATTTCCTCAGATACCGAGTGGACATGCCCTCTGCATTGGCTTCACACTGGCCATCTGACCCCACTTGCATTTTTGCTTTTGGTGATTCTTTCCATAGATTTACCAACACTTTCTGATAGCCCTGTGCAGGCTCTGGACACCAGTTTCCTCCCTGGGTTCTGAACTGAGCAGGCCTGGTCTCTCCCTGCTTTTGGGAAGCTCTGAGCCACACACCCAGCCATAAGCCCCAGAAGGCCTCCCACTGCCAGCTTGGGACTGCCCCAAACTGAAAGCTGCTCCGGTCTCAGGGGCCCAGGCCTACCTGCTCACCCAGCCCTTCCCTAGGAGTCCAGCCCTCAGCATCTCCCACCAGGACCTGAAGGAGCTCCTGGTTGGAACCTGCACCCCCTGCCTCCAGCTTCTTCCCTGATCCGTATATACCACACACATAGACACAGGGACACACACACACACACACACGCACACATGCATGACAAGCACACAGACACACACCCCCATAAACACACTCTCACACAGACATGCATAAGTATATACACACATGTACATACACATGCACACACACACCCCCATAGACAATTTCTTACACATAGATACATAGAAACACATGTAGATACATAGAAACAGAGGCATACACAGACACATGCACATACATACACACATACATGCATGCACAGATATACACACCCATAGACACTGTCACACACAGACACAGATATACACAAATAGACATTTGCTCTCACATAAACATGGCCACACAGCCACACACACACCTCTGCAACATCCCCCTACACACATAGACACACAGGCACACACAAACATGCATAGACGCACAGGCACACACGTGCATGTACACACACAGGCAGACACATAGGTACATGGACACACAAACATGCATGCATACATACACACATGCACACATACATGCATACACATATACACAGGCCGCTGGCACAGTGCATTGTCCAATGGCCATCTGGCTCTGCCTGGCCCCTTCTCGAGTTCTTGACATTGTGTCTTGCTTGACTGAACACAGGCCAACTCCTCCCCAGTGCTGCCCTCCCAGTTCTGTCAGCCACTACCTGGCCTCCAGCCACACTCAGCTACTGCCCTTCCCTCAGGTTTTTTCCCAGATGTTCTAATGCTCATGTAGCATCTGCCTTGTCCACTCCCCACTCTTTGGGGCACAGGACAGGATTCTGTGGCCATGAGGTCTGGGCATGATCTATTCTTGGCTCCTCAGGCTCCCAGGTCCCATGGGAGCTCCCTCCTTCACCCACTTGGTCTGGAAGCTCCCTGAGGCAAGGACTGTGTCCTGTTCACGTTTTGTTCCCAATCAGGTGATCACACAGATGGTTCCTGAGGAGTGAGGACCTGGTCTGTGGAGAAGGCAGGGAGTCTAGCCTGGTCTGAGCCCATCTAGGCAGGCTTACTCTGTGGGTCCAGCTCTCTGACCCTCCCCACTCAGCTTGTCCTTGAACAGATTCAGGATAGCTCCCCTCATTCTCCCCTTTCTCAAATATCAACCAGGCAGCTACCTCCCCAAGACTCATGAAGCCCTCTCCCTGTTTTCCTTACATAATATGATGAATCAGTTCACAGGCAGGCCTGCAGCAGCCTCTTGCTGGCCTAAGGCATCTGAGTGAATAAATGCCAATGTGCTGAACACAGACCCCTTCCCCTGTCTCTACACTCAGCAGAGCTCACACCCTTATTTTGTATTCTCAAGAACTCAAGCTACCTCCTTCCCACTTCTCAGGCCCTCGCTCTCAACTCTTCTCTTTCTCTCCTCCCCTCAGCCTGATGCCTCCTCTCCCACTGGTGTAACCTGGGTTAGGGGCTGTTGTTAGGATGACTTGTGGACTCCTCGGGGACCAGCTTTCCTGGCCACCCCTCCCAGGGCAGCTCAGGGCACAAGGCAGAGTCAGTATGTCCTGGGCACTCCTGGGACCCTCCACACACAGCCTGGTGCCTTTCTCCACTGCACCCTCTCACTCTCAGCTGGTTGAACGCCCTGGTTGCCCTTCTCAAGGATCTCCAATATCTGAATATGCTCCTGCAACCCTAGCAGAGCTGCCTTTCAACCCAGGTAGCTCAGGGCAGGTTCCTACAGGAGGACCCTGCTCTGCGTCTGCCTCCTCCCTCTATGCTAGCCCCTCTCTCCTCTGAAGATAAGGGGAGAGCAAGCAAAGGCCTTGCCCCACAGCTCTCAACAAGGGCTTGGAGATCCCTGCTTATTGACCTCAGGCAAACAGCCAGGGCCTCCAGACACACTTGAGGGGAAGGGTGTGTGGGGTGGGGTGGAGGGTTTTGGGAACTTCCCCTTGAACTTGGAGGACAAAGAACTCATTTTTGCCGAGCTCTGTCACCAGCTAGCTGTGCAATCCTGCACACATTCCTCCCGTCCCCCACCGTGGGCCTCAGTTTCCCCTTCTGCCAGATGAGAAGACCTCTCCTCGGATAAAGTCCTGCCAGCCAAGGATGCCATGGAGCAGCTTTCAACTTGCTCATGGAGAAAAGAAGTCTCTGCCTCATGTTTCAGAAAAACGTGCTATGGTTTGTTTTGGCAAAGGAAGTCCATTTTAAAGCTTAGGGCAGGCCTGAGTAGTTTCCTGCAATACTGACCAAGGAAAACGGTGAATGCACTGGAGAAACTGGGCAGGCCCATCTCACCAGAGGGACTGAGGTTGCCACCGCCAGCAATGGGACAGACGCCATGCACCATGCACTTCCCCAGATGGTGCTCTGAGGACACTCTATTGCTTTCAAGGCATTCTTTAAAAAAAAAACAAAAAACCTCACCCTAGGATATTCTTTTACCTGAGAATATTTTTTCCATTGATTTCTAGAGAGAGAGGAAGGGAGGGAGGAGGGGGAGAGAAACATCAATGTGAGAGAGACACATTGATTGGCTGCCTCCTGCAT